CCCCCCCAAGCATATTTTTTCTCTGGTTTTTTAATCCACACCCTTCCTCTCTTTACCTTTCTGATATGGATGGACTATCGGCAGCTACACTGATCACTTACGAAAAAAAAGAAACTAAAAAATCCAGAATAATTTATTCAGTGCTCTACTTTTTTGCTTTACAAATACGGTGTTTATCATCGATCAGTTTTGAGTCGAGTCTGACAGAATCCAGCCATTCAGACTCGAGGCTTGCTATACTTGAGGGGCTTTGAGGAATATGCGCATAAGTGCAGTTTTTGCTATTTTGAGAAATTTCGATGGATTTGGAACGTCAAACTTCAGTTAACATGAATTTCATAAAAGTTTACTACTCTAATACTGAATGTAGGACAATGATTGTAGAGCAGGGTGTCTACTAAAACAGGCTGGTCAAAAATAGGTACTTTTACAGTACCTTTTAGTACATTCTCAGGAAATTCAGTACCTCCTCCAACAGAAAAATTCCGTACTTTTTCAGTACATCCATTTGACGAAATTAGAAAAATTTCAAAAATTTGAAATTGCAACAAAAATGACAAAAAATTATCAAAAATTCCGGACCTTTCTGCGGAATTTCCGCACTTTTTCAGTACTTCCGGACCGTCCTTATAAAATCAGTACTATTTCCCGACTTTCCGGAAATTCCGGACTTGTGGACACCCTGGTAGAGTGAGGTGAGTAGTATGATCGGGAAAACTTACATTCCTGATCACTGGTATCCGAGAGTGGAGGCTCACTTGCGATGTACTGCTTCCCGCTGAACAAGTTGCTTTCGACAACCGGCCTCTTGTCCTCTAGTTGCCGCCTGAAAGCGCGATAATCATCCTGTAACAAAACCAAAGTTTCGTGACTACTCGTCGGCATCTTCAACATACCTGGCCGGAGCGAGGAATCGAGGACAGGGCGGTATGAAACGTAAGAAAGAAATGAGAGATTGAAAATTTCGACAATTCCAGATTTTCCATGATTTTTTTAAGAATCCCGGGTTTCCTTGTGCAGGGTGTCTACTAAAATTTTCTCCTGATTTTTCCAGGAATTTTGCAAGAAATTTCCTGATTTCGTGCGCGAATGAATTAGCACTCACTTGATTTGAAACTTATGTAATGGAATGAATCAAATTTTTAAAAATTGCTTGAAGCACTCAGAATTTCCTGATCTATGACCGGTTTTCCTGATATCATCGAATTTCCTGATATTTTCCGGTTTACTGACGGTAGACACCCTATTGTATTCCAAGATTGTGGCAACCCTGAAAAATACTCATAAAGTGTTAAAGAACATGTCGACGGTGTAAGTCGGCGATCACATAACTCGGTTTGCGACGTCGCCGACTTCTTATCATACTTATTGTTTAAACGGGAAACTACTCAACGGCAATTTTTTAAAACTGCCGTGATTTTTCTTCTCTGTGCGAAGAAAATTCTGCAAAAACTTCAAGAAATGATGTCAATTTGTTCTCCTTTAAAAAAATAACATAGAGGCGGAGATTTTCAGATACCGCAAACGAGTTATGTGATTGCCGATTTACACGGTATAAGTTACACCGTCGATACAACATCGTTGCTGTTTTCAAAAATTATTCCTCGTCTACCATCAGATATTACTAATGAGGCCAGCTTCCCTGAAAAATCGGCTTTCCGGAGATACGTTGTCCAAGTACTAGAATAACTATCGATATTTGAAAATCTATCTAATCTGATGACGAGTGACCCGATTCTTGAATCGAGAAGATGGAGGGGATCCATAACGTATCATGAATTTCAATTGACGATACCTACGATGAATAATGAATATTCATTTGAGTCGAGTGGCTCATTATATTCGATTGGTATTCTGGCGTTTTAATTAAGACAATTTCCAGCTCGGGCGGGGAACCGAGGGTTTTGAGAGAGACATTCCGCACGTTAAGTACCATCGAACGCTTCTAAGCCAAGAAGAATCGAGACATCGTGATCTTTTGCCCTTCGGCGAAAAAGCGCGCGAGAAAACTGAGGTCACAAAGTAGCACAGCCATAGCTGCCGTTGGGTTCTTTGTACCTTTATAAGAACAGGTAACATCTCCTATTATATTCATCAGAGAATTTGCACATACAAAATTTTAATTTTCAGTGATTGTACCACAAACTTGAGCAACTTGAACACAATGTTTTTCCCCGTTTATCTCGTCTTAAATGTTGTCATTGAGAGGGAAGACTGTCAAATAGAGCCACTATTTTCAATTTTAAACTGAGAAAGGACACCTCCATTTACCAATAATTCTTTCCCTCACAACGGAGTACGTGAGGGAATGAAATAAAGAATTGCGGTCTCAAACAAACTTGTGCTGATTCATGCAGTAAGTTTCATCCCTAGTGACATTCAGCAGATTTGCGATCCGTGATCGGCGACTCTACATGTGCATCCGCGGCAATGTTCGGACCCACCCCCTCCCCTTATGATCCTTTAGAAAGAAAATCGACGACGTAAGCCTGCAATCATATGTCTCGTTTGCGGTGTCTGAATTCAAAATATTCCTTGAAGTTTTTGCAGAATTTTCTTCGCACAGAGAGGAAAAACCACGGCAGTTTCAAAGAATTGCAGTTGAGTAGTTTTCTGTTTAAAAAATAAAGTATGACGGAAAGTCTGCGACGTCGCAGACCGAGTTATGTGATTGCCGACTTACACCGTCGAAATGCGGTAGTTCCGAATATTCCGAGGCACGACGACGAGGTGGTAACAGCTCATTGGCGGATCCAGCAAATCGGCAACATCTTTTTTTCTCCATTTAAACCCATGGATATGTATCGATTCTTGGCGGGACCTGGTGCTCGAATAAGAATCGATTATTTAACATACGTTTAAATGGAGGCAATCCGGTGTTGCCAAATTGCTGGATCCGCCTCTGTAACAACTTGGTGACAATGTAGCAAGAAAGAATCTATTCTGTTTTCGAGGGATTTTCAGATGAAAATGCAAGGACTCTTGAGAACTGTTCTGAACCTTTTGACAAGTTTGTAAAAACCATCAATAGCAAAAAGAAACATTTTCTACCAAAATACAAATTTAATCGGCGGTAACTTTCGATACTCTGCGAATTTTTGTTTATCCAAACGTAGGGTTGGTCCCCAATAAGCTCGGATAATCAATAGTATACTCGGAAACTGCGTAAAGGAATGCGTACCTGTTGTTTCTGTAAAGCATTTACGTCAGTTGCGATCGGACCGAGTCCAGTAAGCTCAGTATCCTTTCTGATGACCCACTCAACCAGTTCACGAAGGGAGAGAAGGAGAGCGTTCCAGTGCTCAGCATTGCTCTCCAACCGGTTCCTGCAACAGAATTAGAAATGTTTGATTAAACTTCTAAAGTTGAGAACAAGTTTGACGTAGGAACTAATAAACCAGAGGGATCATTACGAACGAGAAGTATGTTGGAAAAAAATTATAAAATAAGAAGGTAATGGAGGTTTACAAAAACTCAGGCAAGAAACTCAGTTCAAGTTACGACCTGACTTTTGGGACGAAGAGGTAGAATTTTAAGACAAATAGAAAAATGAAAAATAAACGGGAAGAGGTTACATTGAGTATACGCAAAATTTACTTAAAAAATAGAAAACATAGTGAAAAATGAGAGTGAGGAGAAGCTATGGGTAAGCACAGAAAAAAAGAGAAAGATAGAAAGAAAAGGAAAAACCAACTGGATAGGAAGAAAAAATATACACTTTTATAATATTTTCTTCAAAGATGACCTATAAGGAAGCAAAGTTGAGAGACATAAGAAAATTCTTAAATTGGATATAATCGATTCAGAAAGATCTGGTTTTCCAACAACAAAAATTAAAATTCCAAACACACGTCACACAGAATAGGCATGCTAATTTTTGAGACCTTACATCTAATTTACGTAACTGAATGGAACTTGCGAAAACCCTGTCGAAAAAACTGCGGTTTCGATCAGCGAAACATTATTCCCACACGTTATGCGCGCGACCGAGTACAAGGAACTAGAAAAAATCATTAGATAAACGTTAAGACGTTGAAAGCATAGGTAGGGTTTAGAAGCAGATGGAATAAAAGAAAAATGAATGCTTTGAGGCAAGACGTTACGTGATTTTGTCGAATTAAAGAATGGCTACGAAGGATGAAAGAAAAGCGGAGAAAAGTACGAGCGAGGAAAGGGGAGGATGGATCTTCAGATGAGGCCTACGATTTTATTTGATTGATCAGTGTTTCGGCTGTCATTCCAACTTAGAGAATGGGGTGCGAGGATCGGTCACAATTCCACGACGGATTGAAATTGCAGGTATACAGACACTCGTTAGAGAGGTACCCTCTATATCTGTATTGATCTCCCTTTTTTAAAGTGTTAATGACTTTGTTTGGTTAAGGCATCTTCAAATAACGTTTTTACCGACCACTAAACCATCCAACATCGAATGGATACGAGTAACGCTAAAAAGTCCCTCTGAATAGTTGAAGTTGGCAATTTAAAGAAAAAAAAATAATTTCATAAGTAAAAGCTATTGAAAATTTCAATTTATGATATTCGGGGTTCAAAACGACTCTCGAGACAGTTGAAATTTGATCTTATGCCTTCTTGCGGCTCGCAAAGTTTTCTAGAAGAAGTTTCCCGTCGAGAGTTTAAAATTTCATTTTTCAACCTAACTTGACGATAGTAGCTCCTCATTTTGCCTCACGTTAATCTAGTTCGGCTGGGTTGCTCGCGCAGCCCTTGAAGCACCATTACAAATAAGACAATCGGAAACGAGCAAGAAAAAGGACGCGCGATGATGACGGCGCAGAGATACAACTATTCGACCTCGATGGATGTCCGTGTTGCGTCTGCAAAATTGAAGGCGCGATGGCGCGCAGCGTGAACTCGCAATGTTCCCCTCTATACTGCAAATTAGGTGTTGCTTCGAGTAAGGAGAGAAGTTTTGCAAAGAGGCCCGAAAACATCTCTTCTTTCTTCGGTTATGATAAAATCGATTTTTTTCTTTCTTTCTTTCTTTTTTCTGAATCTAACCTTTGGTTCTTCATTTAGGATGTACTTGCAGACCTATATCTGAAGCTCGTGAGTACCGGCCCCATTCAACCTACGGGGACGTGTTTTCATCAAGCCTTAGGTCAAGTTGACTAGGCTCGGGTTTCTACGGAAAAAACTATACACGGCATTCCTTGATTTTTACAAATATGTGAGATTAAATTGAGAAAATACATTTCTTACAACTCCCGGGGAAAATACATAACAAGTCTTCCAGAAAAGTCATATTTCATCGAAAAACGTTTGACAACGTCTCCCTAAACATACAAACGGCGTTCTTCTTCAGCACGGCACTATAGAGCACTGTAGCTGCGTATTGTCGAGTATCACAACAGAATGTCGTGAATATTTTTTCTTTAAATATACAAGAAACTAAAAAATGGCGAATCTGAAAACGATACTGCCGTGCTAAGGAAGAACGCCGTATGAAAATTCGAGAGTTGTCTTTCCTCCAGCAAAAACTTTATTTTGAAAAGGAGTTGTGAATATTTTCTCTTCGAATTTTCGGAAAATTTAAAGCTGATCGAGATTAATATTTTCCGAAAAATTGGAAGAAAAAAACGTTCACGGAATGCCCTGAAAATTTGTATTTCATCAAAGAAAATTTGGCGACGTCTGAAGCCTCACGCGGCGTTCTTCCGTAGCATGACAGTAAATGTCAAAATTCCCAAATCTTCCACATAATTCGTATTTTTTGGGAGAAATTTGGCAACATTCGAGCGTTCACGGTTCATACGGTGTTCTACCTAAGCACGAGAGCCCACTGTCTTGACATTACCATCATTATCATTCTCTGCCACATAATCACAGGTTCTCGCCGAGTTACCTCCGTTGTAAACCAGAACAAGAACATCTCTGCACATACGGTTTAAGCATCGACGCACTTGTATGCAGCGAGAGCCACGCGGAGGGGAGGATGGGAGGGGGGAGGTGCGGGTAGCACGGTCGGTTGAGCGAAAGGCATGGGGTAAAAGTGCTGTTCCTGAGCGTGGAATCAAACTCAGGAACGCTCAAAATGCATGTACGTGCACTCGTAATCGTTATGCTTTTACGGAGAGAAGTGACAGACTCATAGTTTTTAAATGACAACCTACAGTCAGCTGTAAACTTCAACCAAATAGCAACATTTTTCAAACTTTTTCAATCAACAATGCGCAGGCAGTGCGAAGTTCATAGTATTTTTTGAGCCCTATTTTCCCCAAAAATTGTTTATGTCCGCATGGAAACAGATCCAGGAGAGTGTTATATAATTTTCAGGCAGCCAGATTTTATATTTTTGCCTGTCAATAATGCACAAAAATTTAAGTAATTGAGATCCCTGTTTCACGGCCGGTAAGAACTCTACGACAGACATCAACAAAAAAAAAACAAAACAAAAAAACAAAACAAAAATGTATAATTTTATTTGAAATTACACTGTAAAAAAAAGCTCTTAGATGTAAAGTCAGGACTCTTGAAAAAATTGACAAAAAAAAATACTCTTGATTCAATTGGATTTTTGCTTGAATCGAAAACCAAGTCTCCTAATTTAAGCGGATTTCCTTTTGAATCCAAATTTTTCATTTCCAATTGAATCGAGGGTATTTTTTTTTTTCTGTCAAATTTTTCAACAATATGGACTCCGGGTCCAAGAGACTTTTTGTTGCCAATGTGGGGTTGAAAATTCTCAGATTTGAGGGGCTTGGATAACAAGGCGCATGAAAGCAGTTTTTGATAAGTCGAGAAATACGTGTTTGAAGTTTCGAAATCACATGGATCTTTAGGGCAAAAAGCAAGTTCAAACTGACTTTTTGATGCTTACAAATTGGAATTTGGGTGCGATTTTTTTTACAGAATATGCGTTGAGACTGGTTTTAGTTCAGATCATTGATTCCTCATTTTTTTTTAAAAAAAACTGCACTTATTTCACTTGTCTTGCAAGCCCCTCATTTCTGTCAATCTATTACTGTATTCTATCGTGCTAGGAAGAACGTCGTATGAGCATTCGAGAGTTGCCAAATTTCCCTAAATAAAACAGGTATTTTTGACGCCTTTCATGCATGTTTTTCATTGAAATTTTCAGATATTTTAGATTAAAATTGCGTACAAAATCGTCTGAACATTTTGGGGGAAAATATTCACTATTTTCCTAATAAATTCGGGTTTTATCGAAGGAAACTTGGCAGCGTCTGAAGGCTCATACGGCGTTCTTCCTTAGCACGGCAGTATTAATGACCATTCGCAAGAGAAGGGACCTAAAAGAAATTACGCAACGTCCAAACCCGGATTTTCAAATGACATTCTTCCTAAGAATGGCAGCATAGCGCAAGGTGTCCGACCGCTCAGGCAGTCAGGCTGCGGACAAGATTAAGATCGTAAATTCAACTTCCTCGGAGAAAGTCTACGAGGAAATTTGAATGGGTTTTCTCTCCTTTGGCGCCCATGGAACTCTGGGGGGCCTGTGCTGGGTCTAAGCAACGGAGTGCAAGCGGGGGGGGGGGCGGTTGGGNGGGCGGTTGGGTTGAGAACCTCTGCGGGACTTGCCTTTTTCAATTAATTCTGTCGCAATAGGCTTGGATTTTTAACTGTTCCCCCACCCACGCTGAGGCTTCCCTTTTTTTATTCAAATTTTTATTTTTCTACTTTCGCGCATCCGTGTATACTTCGGAACACTCCCTCCTCAACGTGTGCTCCTTGTCTTGAGCAGATTTTATGTTTGTGCCTTCAGAATTGTGGCCCAAAAACCTTATTCAAAAATCGAATTTTTCTTATACCCCAGAATTCACGGTGTACGTGAAAGGAAAAATGCCGCCGCCAAACTTCAGATTCTATATCAAACCAAAATGACCAAGAATTTTCATGAAAGAGCGTCCTGGCACAAAAATGAGTAAATTATGCAAAAGCTGAGTCGAATACGTGATTTACAAACGACGCGACGCACAGAGGATCGGATCAATTGGGGAGGTCGGACAAAATTTGAAAACTTTCAACGCTTATAACTCCGATAATACAAATATTTGAAGTTAAAAGTGGCTCTATTGGTTTTCTCGTGTAATTTTCTTTTAGAGGCATCCCTTATAATTTAAAATACGAGAAAATAAGCATCAAAATTTGCGGTTATAGTAAAAAAATTCATGTCCGACCTCTCTAATTGATGGTTATAGGACATCTCGTCAACGATTTTTTGTCCGCGCACCTGTTTTTTCCAGTAATTTACGTCCACGCGTTTTTTCGGCAAGGAGGTTTTGATCCACGTGCCAGTTGAGACGCAAAGTTAATTGGTCCACATGTAAATACAAACGACAATTGCTCACAACGTTTTTGGATGAAAATGTACAATGTCTTGGGCAAAACGCGCATTGGCGCCTACAAACCTAAGTGGATACTTCAAGCATTACGCAATGCGTGAAGTGTCCACTTAGGTTTGTAGGCGCCAGTGAGCCTCTCACGCTCGCAGCACGCCGCTTCGCTCTGTTAGGCTTTAATATTTATACTCGCATGGTCAGCGTTTTTTAACTCATGATTTTGAAATGTTTGCACACTCTGCATTGCGTATCCTCATTTAAATTGATGAAAAAAAAATATGTATCAATTTATCAAAGGAGAGTAAAAATATAATGTGTTTTTTAAATATTGGTGGTTCCGTGTCAAATTCAATGATTTCCAAGGCACTTTAATTTTTTATTTTACATTCCGTGCTTTTAATGCGCTGCAGCGAGTTGTACGCGCAACCAAACGCTCAAAATTTGACGTATTTGACTCTAAAATATCGATGTACAAATGGGTTAAAAGTAAAGAAAGCGTGCTTCTTGGTTTTTTTCCCCTCTTTTATTCATTTTCGCAGTTTCTGTGGGCACAACTGCGGCTCTTTAAGATTAATGTCGCTTGGAAAAGGTTTTACAAATATTTGTAACGTTTTAAAAATATAAATGTATACAAAATGAAGTAATAATTTCGTAAAAAAAATTAAAAAAATAAAAAAAGTACCTATACATATATAAGGTATATTGTGCATCGCATATTTTAAGGATAGAAATAAAACCATATATTCACCAATGACAATTTAAAAAGATGTATCAAAAGGAGAAAGTAACATTTCATTTAGAAAATGAGCAACCATTACAACACCTCCTTCTCTCTCAATTTCATATTGTCAATAAAATTTTACATACCGACTAAAATATAACGCTTGGACCAAGTCACTGTTGCTTATTTTACGTGTGGGCGTAAACTATTGGACATAATAGGTGCGCGGAGAAAAAATCGTTGACAAAACGTCCTGAAACCTAATTGATTCAACCCACAGTGCGTCGGGTAGTAAGAATTGTGATGGTAAATCACTCCGAATAATTTGGATTCATGGCTGCCCTATTGGGCCCTGAAAGCTCCATGACCTAACCTCAAAATTACCAACATTTTGGGCTCTCCCTATATTGATATACTCTAATGAAGTGGAGTCTGCTCGCCTTGCCACGCACAGTGGATCGAGTCAATTGAAGAGGTCGGGCATGAAATTTTTGACAAAAACTGCAAATTTTGATGTTTATTTCGTCACATTTTAACATACAAGGGGTGATTTTGGAAGCAAATTTTACGAGAAAACCAATGAAACTACTTTCAGAACCTCAAAGTTTGTATAAACAAAGTTATAAGCGTTTTAAGTTTCCAAATTTGGTCCAACCTATTCTATTGACGCGATCCACTGCGCCACGTTTTTCCTGAGCGTACGAAGCGGGCCAAGAACGGGGTGGACTCGGGCAAGATTTATACGTCCGGCTAAAAACTTAGCGGAAAATTTGCCGATGGTCGCATGTGGCGTGTGGCGCGGCGGTGATTTTAAAGCTGCGAGTGGGGGGCGTCCAGCGCGGCGGTCCAGGTGCGGACTGCGCCGAAACAGCCCGAAAGGCAACGGTAAACCAGGGCCGGGCCCATCTCCTTAAGTCCTCTTTATATTTATAGCGGAAATTCCGGGCCCCAGTTCGGCGCCGGGTGCAGCTGCACTCCTCCGGATTCGTTCCATATTCAGACTCGCTAATCTCCCAAAGTCCCTCCAGAGTCTCCGTATTCTAACTCTGCCGTGCGCTGGAAAAACGCCGTATGAACCTTCAGGCGTTGCCAAATTTCCTTTGATAAAATTTCACGAATTACCTGGTGAACTAATGCATATTTTCCTTCCAATTTTTCAGATGATTTCGCTCGCAATGTCACGTAAAGTCCCTGAGAATTTCAAGGAGAAATATTCATATTTTTCCTCAAAAATAAACATTTTATTGCGGGAAATTTGGCAACTCTCGAATGTTCGTACAGCGTTTTTCCTCAACACGGCAGCGTTCTTTTCCGGCTCGCCACCTACCCGCGCCCCAAGTTTCGCATTTTCGTAGCGTAAAGACCCGTTGGGGTGGGCTTGATTTTGGCCCGGTTCGATACAATTTCGAAAGTTTTAACTTCCCTGGTTTTTCACCCTTAACTTAGTAACTTGTCAGATTTTTTAAAAGTAAAGTCGCGCGAGAATCACGCTGAGCGCATCAAATGAACTTCCTCTCGCGGTGGAGATGTTGCACGTGTGAGGAATTTGCGATTTGTTTGTTAGTTTGATGCAGTCCACGTCTATATCAAAACAAACTCTACATGCAAAGATAGGGAGCAAATACTATTACATTGACAGGACTGCCACTTTATTTGGGGACACTAAAACTGAAAAAACGGCATCACTGCTAATGTATTTGCTCCCTATCTTTGCATGGAGAGTTTGTCTTGATGTAGAGATGGAATCTCAGGATAGCTTGGGGTATCCCCTCCATTTTTGCCTCAACTTGAGAGCTTTTTTTGAGCTTGAGAGTTGATTTCAGAGAAAACCAGTGGCACCATCGTGTTTCTCGTGAACTTTTACATGAGAATCAGTAGTCAAATCGCAAATCTCTCACACATGTAACATCTCCATTTAATGAAAAACAAAATCTTGATATTTCACGTGAAATATTTCATAAACTTTTAGAAATTTATAAAATAATATTGAAAAATACCGGTTCCTCTTAACGTATCGCGAAAAGTAAAAATTGCGACTTTCTTCTATTTTTGTGTGTTTCAGTGCGAGTTGCATACTTTAGCCCCTGAGAAAAATTAAATATTTCACAGACTCGTGAAATTTCATGAAATATTTCACTGAAATTTCCAATATTTTATCTCTATTTTACAGAGGAATGAATTGTCGAATCGCAAATTCCTCACACATGCAATATCTCCATTTTGCCACCCTGTGGAATCAACATTGAATTTTTTCGAGTGTGACTGGAGGAGTGGACTTACCGGATGGCCATGGACCTGGCCTTGAGGTGGTGCCAGCGCTGGTTCATCTCGTCGAGTCTCCGCTGGAGCATGACCGCATCCTCCTGGGAGCCCAACGAGCTCAACAGACTCCGCCCGCTTCCGCTCAGGCTCGAGAACACATCCCTGTGGCTCTCGATCTCCGCTTGAAGATCCTAAAAACAGAACCAAAACACAAGCCATTAGCCATAAATCTTGACCATTACGAGTACACAGACATACACTCACTGTAAGTAACAATAGTGTAACATAGCGTGAAGCCCAAGTCACACGATCAAACTTTTCATTCAACTCTTGAGTGTAACTTGTCGGATGAAAAGTTGGATAGTGTGATAAAACGATAGTGTGACGCGATGAAACAACAATTTAATGGAAATCCCGAAGTAATGTCCGTCCAAACGGTCCCGGGGATGGCAATAGAGATGCAATAATTTGATATTAAGTATATTAAGTAGTATTAGTAAGAGCGTTTGGTTGCGCGTACACCTCGCTGCAGCACAATAAAAGCACGAAATGTAAAAGAAAAAATTGAAATGCTTTGGAAATCATTAAATTTGACACGGAACCACCAATATTTAAAAAACACACATTATATTATTATTCTCCTTTGATAAATTGATACATGTTTTTTCCCCCATCAATTTAAATGAGAATAAACAATGCAGAGTGTGCAAACATTTCAAAATCATGAGTTAAAAAACGCTGACCATGCGAGTATAATATTAAAGCCTAACAGAGCGGAGCGGCGTGCTGCCAGCGCGAGAGGCTCACTGGCGCCTACAAACCTAAGTGGATACTTCACGCACTGCACAATGCTAGAAGTATCCACTTAGGTTTGTAGGCGCCGATGCGCGTTTCGCGCTGGCCGCCCGCTCGCCGTGCGGCAGTGCCTGAAGCAACTATTTCACAACAGAGGTGTTGCACAGTATTATACGAAATTGAACGTATTAAGAATGACAGATATCCTTTAACATTACAGATCTTTCCTCGCAAAATAAATCAAGATACTTATCGTACACAGGAAAAATCTGAGAGCCTTTATCGCTGAGGCAAAAATAGAGGTTTATCCGGTTCAGGTATAATAAGGTGGGAATTTCTTGAAAGATAATTTAGGTTCTGTTACACCAAAGAGGTGTAGAGAGTTTCAGTGAATTTTGTCTCAAAGAATTGACGCTCCCCCATTTTTACCAAAATTCTCAACTATATATTATTCTCCATTGGAGAGCGGAGAGCTGTCAGATGGAGAGTTTGATAGTGCGAATTGGGCTTAAATAACATTTTGTGTTGAAATGGGAAGACGAACATCAAGTTGTGTTACATACTTGATGCTGCTACTTTCGTGAGCCTTCGACCTCTAAACGGCTATATTAATGAGAAGATTTTGCCAAGTTTGACATCACCGAGTAAGTAGGACACTCAAAATCAAACTTGGGCTGCTTGAGAGTTGAGGCAATTACACCCAACACAAAGAGGAGCGCCCCAAACTATTCGACACTCTCGCACACGGCGAGCAAAGCCTCTCGCGCGGTCGCGCGCCAACTTCCGCAACACACGCGAGTAAATGTTCCTTCTTCGTCGCTGATTTTGAGGGTAATTAATGACACTTTGATGATTGAACGTGGATGTCTGGCGCCTCGTCAAACTCATAGCTCGCTACTCGAGTAACGTTAACCTCTTCACCAAGTTCCGGCGAAAGCTTGTACTTACGACAAACAGTACCGGCCGCCTTGCAGCGGGCTATACTGAAATTGTTAGACAAAGTGGTAGACAGAGAGAACAACAGAAAAATGGAGGGGTCATACAGTGGCGTTGCGTAATTGCGATGTATCGATTGTTCTGCCATTTAAACCTATGGTAAAGAATTGATTATTAAGGTGTTCGCTGCAAACACCCTGTTTATCGATTCTTTTCCAAAGGTTTAAATGGCAGAACAATCGATACATCGAAATTCACGCCACGCCAATGGGATCATATACTAGCGTGCTGAGGAAGAACGCCGTATGAACATTTGAAAGTTGCCGAATTTCCTTCGATAAAATGTTCATTTATGAGGAAAGTTATGAAAAGTTTCCCTTGAGATTTTCAGGACTTCTTGAAGGAATTGCGAGAAAAATTATCTGAAAAATTGGAAGAAAAATATTCATAAAATTACCAGGAAATTTGTGTTTTATCGAGGGAAATTTGACAACGCCTGAAGGTCCATACGGCATTCTTCCTCAGCACAGCAGTATTGGTGGAAGCGGGTAAATGCAATGGACGAAGGAGGTAAGTAATAGACTAACCAACGTCAACATACGAGAGACCCTATAGTTAGTCCATCATTTTCCTCATTAAAATTAGTCTATAGGAACCACCCGTTGCAATCAATTAGATCGACTCATTTACCCCTCGTCCTCTTTGTCTATGGCTTTATCTATCAATTTCAATAAGCATCCCTCAAATCTACCGTTCGGCCGACTTGCTGGTTGTCAGGCTCATTTTTAATAGGGTTAAGGGATGAAAGTGAATGGAAGTCGAAAATGACATCGTGTTCGACGTCATGACCAAACAACTTGTTTGCAGTGGCGTGGCGTCCATAGGTTCGCAGTGTTCGCCGAACACCCTAAAATATTTTGAAACAATTAATAAATTATGGCTAAGAATGTGGGAAGCAATACAGAATACAGAATAGTAGATCGCAAATAAGTATCGGGTGCTTGGCTTCCGACAGCGGCATGTGGCGCGGCGGAGAGAGAAAATCCTGCGACGCGTGGTCCGCACCGGCTACCGAACCTGGATGATCTGGGTACGGTGAGGAGAGAGAACCTGGGTGCAATGATGAAGGGGCAAAGGGTACACGAGAGAGTAGAGGCACCGGCGCGCGGCGCAGAGCGGAGCGTGAGCATTGGGTTCGGAGACGAGTGCGGACCGCGCTTGCGGAGGGAACACAGCAGAGAGAAAAGGGAGGGGAAAAGACCGAGAGAGGAGAGCCGCTCATCAGTCCAGCTGTTTCCTATAGCAGTGGTCCGCAGGGGTTTGCGAACCGCCGAATTTCCTCTATGCCGCGATTCGCCCTCCGCTTCTCCCCCTGTGCCTGCGGGCCGCATCTCCCAGTTTCCCAGTCTCCCTCTCCCACCTCTCTCTGTAGATGAGTGTTGCGAAAATACGTTATCATTTAACAAAATAAATTACAGGAAAACGATCGGTAAAAAGAACAAAATTTCAATGACAATTTACCGGCACAATTTTCACCAGAAAGGGTTAAAATCGTGTTC